ACCTGGATGCCTTCTGTTTTCCGCAGGAAGCGAGCACTGACAGATACCAAAGCATCTTCTGGCCACTCATGGAACCAGTCGATGGCTGTGCAGTTGACCATGGCAGGGAACTTCCTGGCTCGCACACGCAGGACGGAACCCACGGGGGAGAAACACAGAATCACCTGGATATGGGAGAAGACAACTGGTCATGGAGGGTAGTGTGGTGCTGAGGCTGGACCTGTAACTTTGGCGGACAGCTCCTCAGGCAAGCACAGTACTTTCTGGGTCCCAGTGTCCACGGGTGGGGGTGGGGGTGGGAGGCCCTCTGCAGAGGAGCGTGACTCGTGGGGCAGATGAGGCCCGAGGACTGGAAGGCTGCAGTTCCTTCTGGGTTCAGCATGACCTGTGGTATCTCCCCCAGGCCCTGAAGGACAGTGGCTGATTCCCACACAGGCACTGACTTCCTGGCACCCAGGCTGGCGAGGCGCAGTGGAGACAGGCTCTGGAATCCCTTTTGCTGGAAGCGGTACATTCCTTCTCATAGAGCCTCAGCCTCTTTTCTCTCGTCCTTTCTTTCAGGGCTGTAGTGTTGGGCTGGATGGAAGTGGCCACTTATGGATCAGCAGAAGGCCCTGACCTCTAGCTTTCCCTAGAGGGGCCCACAGCCCTGGGTGGGCAGTGCCTTAAGAGGCAGCAGGGAGCAGGTAGGCGCCATCAGGAGCTCAAGCTGCACCAAGCAACTCTCCAGGACTATGTGAGCCAGAGGAAGACGGAGGGGACACTGATTTATTGCATCAGATAGGGGACAGGAGCCACCCCAGATGCTTAGCAGGATAGTGGGGTTGGCCTTCTCTGAAGCAGTCACTCTACCCAAACTCTGAGGAGGAGCCAAAGGGTCCCAGGTGCTGTCAGTCTTAGGGGTTTAGCCTACTTTCCTATGGGTAACACTGAAGCTCAGTGTTCTCCTTCTTGTTTTAAAATTGTTGGTGTTGGTGTTGTTATGTGTATAGTGTGTGTGTGTGTGTGTGTGTGTGTGTGTGTGTGCGCGCGCTCCATGGTGTGCATGGGCAGGTCAGAGGATGATTTTGTGGAGTTGACTCTCTTTTTCCATCTTTACACGGGTTCTGGGAATTGAACTCAGGTTGTCGGGCTTTGTATGATAAGTGCCTTTACCTGCTGCGTCATCTTGCCAGCCCTCAAAGTGTGCTTTCTTTCTTTTCTAACATTAATTATTTTATTTGGTGTGTATGAGTGTTTTGCCTGCATGTATGTAAGTGCACCATATGAGTGTAATGCCTGCAGAGGCCAGAAAAGGGCATTGGATCTCTTGGAACTGGAGTTACAGTTGGCTGTTAGCTACCCTGTGTGTTCTGGGAATTGAACCCAGGTCCTCTCCAAGAGCAGCCAGTGCTCTTAACCGCTGATCCATCTCTCCAACTCCATCTTCTTTTCCTTTTCTTAATTAAAAAATTTATTTTATTATTTACACGTATGTGCGTGTGCCTATATGTGTCTCTGTGTATATGTACATGCATGCAGGTGCCCAAGGAGGCCAGAAGAGGGTGTAACTGGAGTTATAAGTGGTTGTGAGCTGCCTAATGTTGGTTCTAGGAACAAACTAGGGTCCTCTGGAAGAACGACAAGCACTCTTAACTGCTGAGCCATCTCTCTAGCTTCCTCGAGATGTGCTCTCTACCTAAACTCTTTACATGTGTATAGACACAAGGGTTCCTCTAGCCCCAGGGTACCTCTGGCAGCCATGTGAAATATCCTCCAGGCCCCAGTTCATCATGTTCTGGTAAGGAGCAGGCCCAACTCTACAGAGACTCAGGCCGCAGAGGAAACAGAGCCGCCAGCCCCTGGGCAGCTGTGGAAGGCGGGGTCCTACCTTGAGCTGCCTGCGTACTTTCTCAATGAAGAATTTCCAGCATGCTTCTCGGGTGTCAGTCATGCCAAGGGACTTCACCTGAGGCCTCATGGAGGAGATGATGTTTTCCAGGTCGTCCTCTGCGAACAGCCCCGGGATCTCTCCCGAGGCCAGCAGGTCATTGATCAACACCAAGAACTGCTCCTCGGCCACCTGCGAGTCTGTCATCAGGAACACGGAGGGCACATTCTTCACTGCAGACTTGATGTACTGGGCAGCCAGGTCAACCTGGACCAGACAAAGATACACAGAGAGAATGTCTTCAGTTAGTCATTCTCCATAGCCAATCAGAGCAGGGTTCCTGGTGGCCGACTTCCTAGGAACACATGGGTCTGTAGAGGAGCGTGAGACCACTGGGGGAGGGAGGACACAGCCACACTCACAGCAGACATCAGCCCAGCTGCCCAAGGGTGGATGGTCTGACATGGTGCTATGCGCAGGTGGAAAACTATTCAGTCTCAGAAGGAAAGACATGCTGATACATGCTACCACATGGGTAAACCTTGAGGACATTACGCTAGCTCAAATAAGCCAGATACAAAAGCCCTAATACGGTGTGATTCCACTAACTCAAGAGGCCTAGAGCTGTTATATTCAGATGGAAGGGTGGTTTCCAGGGCTGAGGGAGGAGAAGGCTTCAAAATTCTAAGTTTTTGTTCTTTATTCTCTATTTATGCGTGTGTGTGTGTGTGTGTGTGTGTGTGTGTGTGTAGATGCGTATGCCACAGAACATGTGTAGAGGTCAGAAGACAACTTATAGGAGCCAGTGCTCCCCCTCTACCATGTGGGTCCCAAGGACAGAACTCAGATCATCAGGCTTGGCGGCAAGTGCCTTGACCTGCTGAGCCATCTCACCAGCCTGTTGTTTTTGAGACAGGGTCTCATGTAGCTCAGGTTGACCCTGAGCTTGGCATATAGTCAAGGCTGATCTCGAACTCCTGATCCTCCTGCCTCCATCTATAAGCACTGAGATTACAGGTGTGTGCCACCACACTCAGCAAGACTGGAAGGTTTTAGAGATGGATGGTTGGCAAACAAGGGGAATGCACTGCATGCCACTGACCCGGGATTTTATCACACACACTAGAGAATAAACCCAGCGACACCCGACATGGAAACTCTGAAAGAGGTCCCAAATCAAACCACCCCGCATTTGGGCTGGGAGATCTGATCCCGGGAAGAGCTGACGGGTCCCCAGAATGTTCTGTTCACCTCAGTCTCATTCTACTTTTCTAGGAGGGCTTAAAGAGATAACATATA